GTAGAAATATACTACTGTATTGATTTTAAAAGAATCTCATTTTACAAAATTTTGTAACGTAGAAATATACTACTATTTTTTAATGTATATATATATATATATATATCAATAATTTTCTTCAGCTTTAAATTTGAGCACGACATATTTCATAAAACAATAGACAAAAATTATCAATTTAATTATAATAATCAATAGCAAGATTAAAACATAAAATAAATTATAAATTAGAATGTCCTAACACTATTAAACTCCCAACATTAAACAAATTTCATCAAAAGAAAATTCTAACAAAAATTTAAATGAAACAAAAAAAAATATTTAAGGAGTAAATCTTCTTCTTGACTTGCACAATGCACTTAAATGACGTTTTTGTTGGGATAAACAAAAATTGAGTGATTCTTCCACGAATAAATCTCAAAGAAATCTTTTTTTTTTTTTTTGCCAATGTATCCAGCAACATCTCCAAATTGCTTGGATATGTTCTACACGGAAATTGATCAATTAACAACATATTATTAATTATACATTAGTTATAGAAAATATAACAAAACAAAATATGAATATAACCTTTGATTTTTGAACTTTCAAGATGTAGTCGCACTTTTTGCAAATTCATAGAATTTTTCCATATCCGATATCAGTCGCGTAAAATACATGACTTAACAACGTCCATATCTACAGATCATAACAAAAATGTTAGAGATATATACGTATGTAAAAATAACAAATAATATAATGCAAAGTTAATTTGGAGCAAATAATTATCATGTGCATCGAAACAAATAAATCATAATGATATATTTTGTCGAGAAAAAAAATGTACACCGAATTATCAATTTCAATATAATTATCAGAAGAAAAAAACAGAAAAACTAAAAAGAGAAACCAAGAATAAATCTCTCTCTCTCTCTCTCTCTCTCTCTCTCTCTCTCTCTCTCTCTCTCTCTCTCTCTCTCTCTCTCTCTCTCTCTCTCTCTCTCTCTCTCTCTCTCTCTCTCTCTCTCTAACTGGATTTTTTTTGGTGGTGATGAATTTTGTGGTATGAGATTTTATAGTTGTATTTATGCGATAAAAATGTAAATAATATGTAAAAAACGGAAATAATTAATTAACATTAAAACAAAGATTTTCAAGATTGAATTTTTGAATTTGAATTTTAAAATAAATTAAACTACATGTTTAAATAAGGAAAACCCGAAACCAATATAATTAATGATATGCTTCAATTTCGCTAAATCACCCACACACACGCATATACATATATATATATATATATATATATATATATATATATATATATATAACTAATGATATCTAGAAATAAATTAACATCGTTTCTATAATTATAGAAATTATATATATTGTAATTGATATTAATTCACACTCTTATATAAGATATTATGAAATATGGAAAAGATATAAATCAAATTAATACACAAAATAATAATATCTTATATTAAGTTGGTAAGTCTTAATTAATATGCATCTATTATCGGTAATTGCATTAAATAATTAATTAATGTGTGTATATTAGTATTGTGATTATAATGGAATAAAAAATGCCACATGAGATATGAGGTGGATGTCACATAGATATGTCACATATCGATTTCTTAAGCTATAAGGGTTTCAATTTATATATTATATAGATATATTTATTGTTTATAAAAAAAGAAACTCATTAACCAATAAAAATACACTATTTTGACATGTAGGAGAGATAAAATTTGAAACAAAAAATGTGAAATTATTTCATTAATAATATGGGTGATTCTTGTAAGTGGGTTATTTTTGCAATTAATATAATATTGTGCATAAAATTTACTCAATTGTGAAATTATAAAAATTGCAATTAAGTCCTACATTTTTTAAATCAAAATATTGTTTATAAAAAAAAAAACTCATGAACCAATAAAAAGACATTATTTTGACATGTAGGAGAGATAAAATTTTAAAATCAATAATGTCAAATTAATTAATTAATAATATAGATGATTATGATAATTTGGATTTTTTTGCAATTAATATAATATTGTGTATAAAATTTAATGAACCCAAAAAAAGAATTAACGTATTTATTATGAAAAAATGGATTAAAAAAGGAAACTAAATAACCAATAAAAAGACACTATTTTGACATGTAGGAGAGATAAAATTTAAAATTTAATTATGTGAAATCAATTACATAATAATATGGTGATTATGGTAAGTGGGGTTATTTTGAAATTAATAATAAAATGTGGACTCAATCTCCTCAATTAGAAAACTTTGATTGTGTATCTTAGTTTTATATATAATATATATACCAATCATAATCCTTATCATATTCCTGATCCTAATACTAATGTTGATGTTAATGCTAACTAATGCTAATACTAATGCTAATGCTAATTTTAATACTAATGTAAATGTTAATACCAATATTAATACTAATCCTATTATTAATCCTAATATGTCAATGCTAATGGTATTCATAATAGAGTAAAAAGCAGTTTGCCCCCTAAACTATGACTCATTTTGCGCTTTGCCCCCCAAACAATTTTTTTTTGCACGTTTTTACCTAAACTCGAGTTTTTGTTGCACGGTGCCCAAAAAGTGGTATATTCCGGCAAAATTCACCGGAAATCTGTGCACGCGCGCCACATGTGAAATTGATAGGGTTAAATTTGTCTATTCACTCGCATCTTGACTAAAAGTTTAATTTTTCCTTTTTCTTTTTTATCTCTTCTTTTCATTTTTCATTTTTCATTTTTTTAATCTGCCAAATCTCTCTCTCTCTCTCTCTCTCTCTCTCTCTAATTCTCAACTTCTGTAAAAAAAAATTATTCTTGTTCTCATCTTGCTTAGCCCAAATTCCTCCTCTGCGCCGCCTCCAATTCCCACTCCTTCCGCCGTCGGAATTTCCCTAAACAATTCTACCAAAGCAACCCAGGACCCAAC